TTGTCGCATGTAAGTATCACTCGGCTGCATGGTGGAATGAGCTCTGTTCACCAAAAACAATGCTGCAAAAATTGCAGGTCACAAGGACCGAATCACGACGCGCATGGTGCGCTTTCAAACAGGTGAAGTGCGGCAGCTTGGAATGCAAAGGTCTCCGACATCAGCTTAAACTGCTTCTGCTTCCGCCCGCCTCGTTGCCACGGCACCCGCATTTTGGTCCTTAGTCTCTTCGCTGCGCTGCGGTAGTTCCAGTTATGCCGCACTGGCTTCAAGGGGGGGCACTTGACAAAACACTGCAAATTCCTACTTGGCCAAGGTCCAATTCACGGCTGTGATTGGTCAATATAGGAGGTGACACTTGACACCGATACTACGGTACAGCCCCGGTAAGTCGTGCCACGTGAAATCCAGTATACTGTTTAAGTACGCACATCTGCCTCTCAATGGGTTTCACATGTACTGCAAGAAGCTGAGCGAGCTTACATCTGAGAAACGTCAAATAGCGGCAAATTGGCTACGATAAAAACAGGAGTCAGATTTAGTTCCGGTTTTTCAGCGACAACGCATGGATAGAGCTACAGCTGCCGGAATGTGTAGGTTTACTCCTCTCATGGAAGGTGCCTACTCTGTTCAACACCTTGGTCCTCAAAATCAACACGGGCATATTCACGCTTGATAACTTGTTGCTCTTTCAGCTCGAGAATGCACATGCGGGAACTGGCAAGATGAAATGTTTCCGTGTATTCACGCTAATTGTGCAGCGATTCAGGAGAGTCCCCAACTCGTCTTATCATGCTTTAGACAAAATAAGCTAAGATCTACATTGACATCTGGAGATGTAAAGCCTCATTTTGGTTTTATCGAGATGCCGCCGCACAACAAGCGCAAAAAACACGTTAGGAACTTCAATCGAAAGGTAGACGGATCCTTCTACATCTCAAGATTTACAAAACCCTACGAAGAGCTCTACGATGCAGAACACCTCTACGCCAAGCGCTGTGTCATTAATTTAGCGTTTTTTCTGGTGCAATGGTTTGGTGATCGCATATTAACATGGGAGCCCGCCAACCCCCCCCCCCCCCGTGGGGGAGGGAGTCGACTTGGAGTTAGAGACCATCGACTTCGTGTGGCTTTACCAACCAACAAGAGGAAGGCGGCGCAAAAGACTACCTACACGACGCAGCGAGCGCGTGCCGAATCAGGAGTAACGACTAGCTTAAGTTCGGTACAATTAAAACCCGTACTTAAACATGGACTGGAAACAGTATATTTTGATAGTTACATATTCTAAGGAATAGTGCCCTAGTACTGGATTATGGATATATCTCGACAAAGAACGCGATACACTGTTACGGCTGAGAGCAAATTTGCGTCAGCAAACACTCGGCCCTTGCTGCCAGTAGATATGAGACCTTATATATATAGTGACTTAAGCCTGAAGAGGATGATATAACACCGTCTGATGTGAACGCGGAATGTGAA